TAATAAAATAATCTTATTGTTTTGAGAGTAACTTGGACTACCGTGGCCAACAATTCAAAGGAGGCTTATTGTATCTGGTGCTGACCATTATGTTAGTCTATAGTCACTGTGAGGAGCATTATCAGGACAAGTAGCTTAACTTCCTTTAAGGTATACACCCACCAGACACATACACACACACAAACACACATATACACACAATTGGATTACTCAGGCTGGATCTGTTATGAAAGACTCTTTCTTGTGCTCTGGATTCCATGGTTCCAGGAATACTACATAAGCTGCCAATGGAGAGAAGCAATTAAAATGTCATATCCACCTGCAGCACCTATGAACAATGACTATGACCAGCATGGGGAAAATATGTATAATGTTAAGTAAGGGAAACTCACATATAAGTGGCAATAGCTATTTAATTGTTTACAAGCAACAATCAACAGGACAGAAATCATATCTACTGCTGAACATGTAGTCTTTTTTTCTGATACTTCTAAGGTCATTGATCTTAGGAAAAATTCTACCACCACTTTGCTGGACCAGTGTAATTCTTTACTACATTTTAAATCTCACCTTTATACCCACAGATAGGTATTGCTACCACCTCTCATAAAAGAAGGCTGTCTTTAGAGCACCAGGAGACTATCACACAAAAACACAACTTGACACAGTGCAAAGGTCAAAGGATCATTGCGAGCTCATCCTCCGTGCATCCATCTACATTATATCCCCTGTATATATGGCTTAGGGGACATCAAGGAAGATGGCTCACAAAGATTACATTACCAGGAATACAAGGAAAACTTTTGTGAAACAGTCTCTCTTTGAAATAACTGCATAAAAAATATGAAGCAATATTACTAACAATGGACATATTAACATGGAATGGGGAAAACTTGTAGGGTCTCAACCTGAGATAGGAACTACAGGCAACATATGATGTAATTCTATTTGAGTGAAAACAGATTTTTTATTAAGATTAAATTTTAAAATAATGCAGTATTTGCTGTGGGATGTCTCTCTGTATGCTGTGAATATGTGTTGCTCTGACTGGTTGATAAATAAAGCTGTTTGGCCAATGGTGAGGCAGAATAAGGTTAGGCAGGACATGGGACATTCCAACTAGAGAAAAAGGAAGGAAAAAGGCAGAGCTGGGAAATGCTGCTAGCTGCCACCAAGAGAATCAAGATGTAAACTGGTAAGCAACAAGCTATGTGGCAAAATATAGATTTATAGAAATGGGTTAAATTAAGATGTAAGAGCAAGCTAGTGAGAAGCCTGTGCCATTAGGCCATCTAGTTTGAAACTGATTTAAGCCCCTGTGTGTTTATTTGGTTCTGAGCAGCTGCAGGACAGGGTGGAACACAGGAAAACTTCCAGCTACAAGTATTTTTAAGTGTAGAAAATGCTTCTCTTGAAGTGTGGAAATAAAAAAAAAAGTTCTTAAAATAGCTTATATAGCTTATAGATATATAAAGGATAAGTAATTGGAATTTTATGTTTCATTATGTGGTACCTGTTAGATCAACAAATTCAACATCAGTAAAACTTACTGCTTTACTCACATTCTGTTTTCACTGAGTGTGAGCTGAGAGTGGTCATTTTATTTCATTTCCGAGCTCAGACTGCCATCCTGCTTCACCTAGCAGTGCTCCACAGAGCACTGATAACATTCCTCAGTGTCATGTTACTCTGCCCCAGGATTGTTGTCTAAGTATTTGTCCAAACTTAGAACTCACACACTAGGATTGAGTCTTTCCATACCTGCCTGGAAAACTCTCCTTTTCATTCTCTGTGAATAAGAACATCAAGTATGTTATACGCGTAAAATCCAAGATAGAAGCCATGTCTATGATAATAATTTATGTCCAAAAGCAATTTTTTAAACTGATTTGGCCAAGCTATTATAGCTTGCCACGTATAAGAATAAAGGAGAAAAAAAGAGGTAAGGAAGGGAATAAGGAATGAAGAAAAGGAGAGAGGGAAATAAGGAAGGAAGAAGGGGGAGGAAGGGAGGGAAAAAGGAAGGGAAGGAAGGAGGGAAAGAAGAAGGAGGGAGGGAGGGAAGGAAGGACAGTTAAATGCTTGCATTGTTGGAAAAAGTACTTGAAAATAAGGCTATAAACTACAGAATCAAAGGCATTATATGTTTCCCTTCTATTTTTTTTGTCCCTTGCAGTAACAGAGTAAGGTGTAAAAAATGCTTTATAGCAATTTTTGCCCCATTAATCATAGCATACAATATAGTAACTAGTTGCTCTATATATTCCATAGTATAAATCATGATTTTAATGAATTATTTAATTTTAAAAAATTGACTCTCAGAAATTGTACATCATTATCATAAATGGCATGACATTTTGAAATATGTGAACGTAATGGATGGCCAAATAGAGCTAATTAACGTGCATTAAAGTGGTAGGGTTTCTAATTGCCTTTCATAATATTTGACTATTAGACTTTTATTGATCATGAGTTGAAACCTTTACACAAAGAAAATATACTTCCATTGTTAAAAGAAGCTGTGATGATGCTGTAAATTTCAGAAAAACAATACAACCTCTAAATAGAGAAATAGTGCTAATAGTACACATTTTCTTAGGTAAACACAGAAAAGATCACATTTGTATGAAGAGGGAAATATTCTGCATTTTAATTTATTTAAAACTGATCAGGCAAGTAACTACAAAATGATTAAATCATGATTCCTCTAAAACCATGAATGAAACCACCCATCCTTGGTGGTTCTAATTCTGTGGAACACAGAAATAATCCTTGTAAATACATTGGAAAATGAATTAAGTACTAACTGGTGTTAAATGTAACACTCAAAAGAAAATTGGATGAAGCATGAGTGAGAGGCATCATTTTCTCTAAGGGACACAGTTACAGAAAAGAAATAGGTGAGAATCATTCCATTATCCCAGAAGGTAAAGCAATTCTCACCTGTTGTAAATCTACAATGAGATAAATATCAGAATGGAAGTAATGCTCATAACAACATCATCACAGATACTGAATATCTAAAAATGGTCCAGCAGATGCACTTGCTAAAAGAAGTCACAAAATCTATATATGATAATTGTATACTATAAAAAGTGTGATAGCATAAGTTTATAGATATAGTTTACCTCATATTTTATGCATTTATATTAATTTTTTAGTTAACAAATTATCATGATAGTACATTAACCTATTGTTAGCAATAGCATAAGCATAATTAGCAAAAGCATAACTTTAATAGCATAAGTATGATTACACAATTATAATAGACTGAAGTATTTATTGTGTCATATTTTGATCCTGTTCTGACAAGTCCAGCGTGCTTGAAGTCAGAGGGCAGCACTAGCCACTAGCTGACCAAAATTCACCACAGAGGTTTTGTAGAATTGAAGACGGATAGGACAGGAAATAGTAAGGCAGGGCGGAGAGGGATCTTGGCCCTTTTGGAGGAAGGAGTGGATCAGGTAGGAGAGGACTCCTGACCTCTTTGCTTCTCTAATCTTTCAGGCTCTTACCCTGATATCTGTTTCCCAAATTTTTATTGATTAAAGAATAATTAGATTAATTCTTTGTCTATTATCATAACACTAAGCATGATTTTCTTTAAAATTTAAAGACAGGTAATTTTTTAAATCCATAATAACCTGCTTCCTAAAGATCAATAGTATTTGGAGATGTTTTTACTTTTTGTAGTGTTAATATATGACATGGTATATTTATTTTATTTTATTTTATGTGTTATTATTATCCTTTAGAAGCTGGTGCTGTTTGCTAGTGAGAGACAGAGAGTGGATACAGATGGGAGGAGAGATAAAGAGGAACTGGGAGGAGTAGAGGGAAGGGAAACCATAATCATGATATATTTTGGGAGAGAAAAATATGACATGGTAACTTTTTAGAAACATTTGTAAATATATTTAGCACATAGCTGACATACTTTTTGGGAATCGAGGTGGGTTGTCATTGACGTCAGTGAGGGTAATATTGACAATTGTTGTTCCAGCAAGGCCACCGAGTTGACCGCCCATGTCCTTCGCTTGGATGAGGACCTGGTACTGTTCTTTGACTTCTCTGTCCATGTTGGGCAACGCTGTTCTAATAACACCTTTGGGGGAAAGTGATAACAGAGAATCAATATCACAAAGAGAATGCTTCCCCTGACCCCATCAGATTGAAATAGAAGAAAGTAGTTATGTACAGATTTATTAGCAATGGCACATTAAATAAAATACTCTATCAAAATTTAAAATAGCCTAACTACCCTAAATTTGGAATGTGACTTTTATTTTTTTCGATTTTTACAGCCAGATCTTAAAATATAGTTATAAGGAAAACAAAAAAGGTTACAGTGTACCTCAACATCAAGGTCAACCCTCCCCAAGTAAACTAAGTTAGGCCTCATTCACATATTCAAGTCTATGCTGAAATGAAAGAGAATGTTAATACATTTAGATTAAATTATACACATAGAATAATTTAGGTAATTAAACTGAATTGAGTGTATAATTCCAAAGACTATTATTATCATATCCATTCTTTAGTTTACAATAAAAATCCACTTATCTTAAAAAAACATGAACTATATCATTTACATAATGTGTCTGTTTTGTCTTTCTGGAGTCTCCCTAACTATTTTCACTGAAGAATCCATCCCTTCCCACGCCCTTAGCTGTCATCAGATATTATCATTGTGGGGCCTTTGTGACTCCTTCCATCAAGGTAATCCATTCTCCAAGATAGTGTCTTATGTTTAAAACTCTCAGTATGTGGTTGAATAAATGAATGACTGAGTGAATGAAAGTGATCTTACAGTTTTCAATCTTATATCACATATGCATATTTACACACAGCAGTCATTTCCATTCTTATATCCAGGTATAGGAACTATTTTATATTTCTATTTATTCATAGTAAAAATGTAAGACTTTCAGAATCCTGTGGAAATTGAATTATAAATTTTATTCCAAATTCCACTAGGTAGTCAAGGATTGTAACAGGTAGAGACTGAAGAACCTTTACTTTAAGCACATGTGATTTTGGTGGTGGTAGGTTATATATCTTAAATATAAAGGCGTGTATGAATAATAAAAAATCAGCCATCAATACAGTATAGAGGATTTAAATCAGTGCCCCAGCGTAATCCATATATCTGTGCTTGCTACCATCTACTTACCCATTGCTAAATTTTTGCTAATGCATATTGAACTGCAATCTTGAGATTTCATCTGGCACTTGGCAGGAAATAGTTACAGAAAAGACATCCATCATTTTTGGTCCTAATGCTTTATTCATGAATTGGTACTGACACCATTTTGATTCAATCTGTCTTCTCTTCCTCACGGGCTTCTGATGCTTTATTTTCAGTGTTTCTAAAACCAAGACTTTTAAAGTCCACATCTCAGTGTTGCTGTCTTACATACCTTACATCTTGTGGCATCTATCTGATGAACAATGTTCATGTTTTCTAGATAAATGCGTGGTTTTGTCATTTGGTATTTGCTGTCTCATCATATCATTGACCATGTGTGATTTTTACTCAATTCACTATATAAACAGTCCTTTATTTTCAATGTACATATAACTTTTGCTCTACATCATTTATTTCTCTACCTTATGCATCTCCCAGGATGAAAACTGTACACAGCAGAGAGAAAAGAAAAGGAATGGGGAAAGAAGATGGGGGTGAGGCAGAAGGAGAGAGAAAGAAAGAGAACAAAAGAGATAATGGTTATTATTCTAGGGCACATTATCAGTAGCTCACTTCCTTCAATTAATAATGCTAGACTTCAGGTCATTATAGATGAATATATTTATGGTGCCCAATTTCTTGTTAATATATTTAACAGAATAAATTTTCTGTTATTGGCCACAATCAGATCATATATTATAAATAAATGTGTCTAAAAAAATTATTAGGTGCTGTGCAAGTATCTCAGGGGGAAAATTGTTTGCCATTCACTGTCATAGGATTGGGTTGTTGGGTATTTACAGAACTGTTGGGTGAGTATGGTAGACCACTTGTAATCCCAACACTTAAATAGGGCAGAGAGAGGAGATTTACAGAGAACACTGGCTACATAGGACTCTTGAATCAGTGAACCTCTCATCAATTTAGAGACCCTGCCTCCATACATAATGTAGAGAGGAACCAATAGAAGTCATACCATATGGACCTCTGGGCTCCACATGCACACACAAAAATAGACATGCTCATATCATACACATATACATTTGCTAAAATAATAACAGTAACTAAATAGATCATTTATTCTATTTTCTATATAGCACATCCAGTAATGTCAAACTCAAACTGTGATGAAATACTCACTTATAATTGTATTAAGTATTTAATACTTTAGGGAGAATGTATACCTGTTAATCTGTTCTGATCCTCTTTATCCACCATATGGATTCCAGAGATTCAATTCATGTTCTTAGGTTAGGCTTGAGAGCAAGCACCTTTATCTACTAAGTCTCCTTGCTTGCATTTTCCCATTTAGTTTACAAGGAACACCTGCAATTGCTTATGTATATGTATGTACAAATGAAAATCAGACCCAAACTCTTTTTTCCTATGACTTAGTTTAGTCATTGATAGCTCTTTTATCACAGAGAAAAAGAAATTCCTTTTTTTCTACATGACAGTTCTACCACTTCCTGAGTACACGTATATCTCACGCAGAAATATTTTTCTTTAATTTATTTTTTTCATTGATGTGATGTGTGTGTGTATGTGTGTGTGTGTGTGTGTGTGTGTGTGTGAAAACATGTGTATATGCATGTGTGTGTGCAAGACACAGCTTGTATGTGACAGTCAGAGGACAAAATTGTGGAGTTAGTTCTTAGTCCAAAATTTGTCTTTTGGGAATTGAAATCAAGTCATAAGGCATAACAGCAGAGGTCCATAATTGCTTACCTATATCACTCACTCAGTATTTTCCTTTCAAGATTGAACATGTCATGACCATTCTGTTGACATTTGTATCTTATCAATCATTTAAAAAATTCATCAATTTATTCAGTGTGTGTGTGTGTGTGTGTGTGTGTGTGTGTGTGTGTGTGGTGTTAGCATGCATTGGTGTGCATATTCATTTATGTAGTAGTGTACATAAAAATCAGTTTGTGTATATGAGGGGAGCAGAATACCACCTTGAGTGTCTTTCTCAGGAGGTATCGTTCATATTTTTGAAACAAGTCTCCATCTAGGACATAGAGATTCCTGACAGCTCAGCAAGCCCAAGCAGTTACCATCTAGCTTGGATAACAAGCATACATCACTGCACTTGGCATTTTGTGTAGGATATAGATATGAAACTCAAGTCTCCAAGCTTGAGCAGAGAGAAATTCCTGAGTGTTCTTTTCCCTCAGGCCCTGCATACCATCATTTCTAAAACTGTAACCTTTTTGAACTCTTGAGTTCTCTTGAAATCTGAAGTTGGAGAATTGAAGCAAATAATGTTTTGTATCCATGGTCATACACTGTTATTGCACATGTTACAAAACAAGGACATAATATGCAGCTTTCTCTTAATGGTTGATATTTTCCTTGACAAATTGTTCTTCTTAATATACATTTACTTCCATTGATTTTTTTGCAGTTGTGTGTTTATAATCAATAATGTCTTAATGTTTCATGTCAGTTCATTCATTCAGATAAATGTACAAAAGAGTGACTACTTTGTATAGGTAAAACTTTAATTTTGTCATTAAAAGAAAAAATATTGTTTATCTTACCCGCATTAACTTAGATATATGAGTTCTGTAAGGCTGTATTCTGAACTTACACCAAGATAATTTTCAATCAATAAAGCCTCATAAGTACTCATATAATATTTAAGGCATTGCCTCAATACATACTGTGTGACCTTTGTTGTAACTTTAGTGTGGGACCTTAAAATAATTAACACATTTTAAGCCTGAAAGCTACCTTATAATTTAATAATTATTGACAAATGCTATTTTCATCCCTGAGAAGCTGTTCTTACAAGGAATGACAATGAATGCGGAGATTCAGGGCTCCTTAATATTTTGAGAACAAGTAATACTTGAGTGCTCATCTATAAACAAAACAGCTACATGATCTCTGGAGTTCAGTCCATACCACAGAGGACAGGACAGAAAGAATTTAAGAACTGGAAGATCAGGAGAAGGACAGTGAACTGCTATGTCCAGGTCATGACACAGCTTTGCCATCATGGACTCCAAGCAATTGATGTTGTCTGTACTGGGATTGCCTAAAACTACCAGTCAGTTAGATCTGAGATATACTCCTACCACACCCCATCTGGCTGAACTATTGGCTATTGGGAGGTTCTTAGGGAGTCATTATCTTCAGTTTTGTTTTTGTTTTTTGTTTTTTGTTTTTTGGCTTTTGTTTGTTTGTTTTTTGCCTTCTATGGAGCTCACTCGGCTCCAATAGATTGTTTCAAAATCACGGCTACAAAGATGCCTCTGATTGACTAAATCACAAAAGAAAACATGAGTTTAATGTGAAAAAAGATGTGTAAGGAGGCAGGAGGGGTGACTGGATGGGAGGGAGATAGTATAGCGTGGAGGGTGAAAGCAATCAGAGTACATTTTATACATATACAAAATAGTCAAAAATCAGATTTAATAAAGTTGTAAAAAAGGAATAGAGATGAGATATAGTATGGAGGTAAGTTTTATTTTGGACACAGGCTTGAGACTTTTGCTACTAAATACAGGGATACATTCACTTGCAAGTTTCTTGAGAATTCCTCAAAAACTGGGCAATCTGTATCAGATTTCTTCATATGAATTCAGAGGTTGGAAAGATTGCATAGTTTTTAGTATAAACAGTAGAAAAAGGAAAAAAAATCAAGTAGATTCTATAGTTATACTCTTACTGCTTATGATGATTTCAATAAATCAGCAGAAGAGAAAAATTATAAGGGACACATTTAAAAAAAAATAACCGTATCATAAAATATTTGACCAAAAAGTTCTGGAGACAGTTTATGGTAGTGGTTATGGACATAAAGGCTTTTAATGCTGAAAAATTGCACATGACATGGTTAGAATGGTAAATTTTATATTACATGTATTTTGCCATAATGAAAAATGAGGATTTTAAATTAAATAAAT